TGTTATATTTATAGAGTATTTTCACTCAATACACTTGACATAGTAGAAAAAGGCGGTGACAGAATAGAATGTTGATGGCAGGGGCGTATAAGGATTGAGGAATAAGCGAGCGCGATAGAGGGTACTTAGGTATCACGAAATGGTAGGGTAGGGGATGGGAAGGAGTGGGGGGGGGGCGAGGGGAGGGAAGAGGAAGAGACTGGGCAATGGAGCAGAGGTGAGGCTTTAAGACAGTATCAGAAGGAGGTGAAGGAGGGGGGGACTGCTTAATGTACAGAGGAAGTTTATTCCAGTCGAGCGGTGCAAGGAAGGAGAGGGACCGAAAACGGGATGGGGAACAGGGAGGAGGGACAGAGAGAGACAGAGACAAGATGGGGAACAGAGAGGGTGAGAGGGGACAGAGGGAGATGAGATAGGCAAGATGAGGTGGAGCAAGGCCACGAAGAGATTTAAAGACTAGCGTCAGGTTTTTGAAAAGACAGCGGTAGTAAGCGGGAAGCCAGTAGAGTTGAAGGAGCACAGGCGAAGTGTGAGAATGAAAGATCATTATATTTTTATGGGTTTTGTGTGAGATTTTATGCCCATGACATAACTCGAGAATAACTTCAAATGGTCTGTGGTCTGGATGAGAGACAAATGCTACTTTGACTATCATCGATATGTTTCTGTGTAATATCACGTGGAATTGAGTGTGGGTGTTCAATTTTAACGAGTAAAGAAGTACCAAAATCTACGAAGACTTTGTGAGCTCACTCACCATATACCAGTTGTGCATCTCCATTGGAGAAAATTTTAATGCAAAAAAATCTGGATCATACCATCATGGTCCACGTATTTCCTCATGTGATACTGTAGCTATTCTACGTAACCCATTATAAATGAAGATTATACGATACAATTCACCTGAGAATCATGCCCCCGATACATATTTTGAATTAATGACCCATGGGTCTCCGATCTCATCAAGCCCACATATCTCTATGGGGAAGATGAAGAGAGACCTACATTCGTGTTATCTATGCAGATCACAAGGAGTGTCCATACTTCACGGTGTCTCATAAAGTGCGGCACCGATGTGACTCAGAAGGTCAGGGTTCTCTCTGGGCCTTGTCTCTCGCAAGGAGATGAGACGAGGAGGTCTCAGTACCCAAGACATCGTACGAATTGAGAAACCGTCCGGCTTTTCATTCACTTCAGCACAGCCAGCACTTCATCACACCGCGTGTCTGATTCAGACAAGATAACAGAGTAGGAAGCCTGAGGGGTTGCAATACCAATAATATTGACATCGTAAAGGATTCGAGAAGCACTTGTGTTATCCACATATTGATTGATCGATGATCCCAGATCTCAACATCATTGCAGATACATAACATTCTATCTAAATTCCAGTATTCCCTTATGGCAAACTCAAACTTAACAAAGTGTGAAAATATACCCAAAATTATCTTGTTGTAACAGATCCAGAAGATAGGCATCTTCCCTGCAATAACTCTGAATAGAAAAATTATGAGATGCCATGGCAGATATTCCAGTGTGTCTGGCTGGGGGATGGGAAATGACTGTTATGGTTGAATGGCGACGAGAACCGATGGACTTGCACAAGTTGATATATTTTTTCTGCGATTTGCAATGTTGGGAAGCACTTTCCCACCTGCCCCTGCACATGAGAGTAATGTTTATTATCATCATAATGAAACCAGTATTTTATTCTCCAGAGCTATAATTTCATCAAATGAAGTGCAAATCTAAATTTAACGTTGTAGTCTTCATTTTTTAGTAATTGGTAAACCGGTATTGCATGCAAGTGAGTGCCAGATTCCAACCCAGGCATCAGCAGTGCTATCTCGGTGCTCTGACCTCTGAACTTCCTGGCTGCCTCCGTGATTTTCAAGAATTCTCATTTTTTACATAAATGATTAATTTTTTTTAATTCGGTAAATTAATATATACTGTACTGTTTTTGTGACTTACAGAGCCAGATTTGCAATTCGAAATCGGTGAGCACGTTGTTTTTAGTTTCGTGGTCAGTTGTACCAGTACTACAACTGCAAGTTACTGGGATAACTAGAGATGCGTGGCCTCAACTTACAGAGTTCATGTTTGCTGCCTATGAAAGTGGATAAGCAACATCGAAAAAGGTAATAGAGAAAAGCCTTTGAGTAAGCCGGAATTCTAGGTAAACTGAAAAGACGACTAAAATAAATACATAATGAACCAAATAAAGTTCTACCAGAACATTTTTCACGTGATCATTAAGCCGTGGTAAGAGCCAACGTCAAACTCTATGCCAATCTTGCGTAGAATATTCTGAGATGTGTTTATCAACACTAGCATACGCAATGCACTATCCTCAACCATTGTAACAACATGTGGTTGTGCATGAGCAGGGGTCGACAACCAATACAACAAGAAGAGCCATTTTTTTGTTAGAATTCGATAAAAAAAACCTAAATATTTCAAGAGCCGCAATGCACGTGGTGAATACGAGACGGTGGGTCCTTAATAAACAACGTCACGAAGCGGTCCCTTAAAGAGCAGCCACATGCGTCTCCGCGGCCGCAGGTTGTCGACCCCTGTGAATGAGAAATTATAAATCTACCTGTATAAACTTATCTGATTAATCGAAATCAGTATCCCTGCTCCCTTAGATGCTACGTGCTCTATTCGTGCTTTCTCAGTTTTAACATCACATTTATTTCACAAAATAAACTCTTCAAGCTGATCACGGAAGCTGTTCATCATTCCACATCTTGTGAACATAATCATTCCACTTCTGCTTAATGGTGATGGTGACTGGCATTAAACTGTACCTTAAATTTTTTATTTTAAGTGTTAGTACATTTTTAATTGTAAATATTTGGTGAAATGTATTAAGTGTTCATTACATAATTAGAGGTGTTTATTTTGTGTAAATGTAATTAAACGTTAGTAATCATGTATCATTCTGACTTTGAGGTGTTTTACTGGCAGCTGCATTGCTGAGGAAATCAGTGCTCTATACCTAATTAGACTGGTCAATCCCGTATTAATGTAATTCAGATGTTAACTGAAAGCCAGCTTGCATCAAATTTCATAGTAAAAGAGCCAACTTTAGAAAATAATGGAAAATTGACCAATTTTACCTAACGTATTTGTGGAAACTTATGTGCCACCAAACCAAGAGTTAGGCCACTATTACAGCATCGCTATGAAGTCAACTATGATTGTGGTGTCAAAATCAACAAGGTGTGTGTATAGCCAACCGATTAGCACGGTTGGCTAAGTACAGTGCGAAAGAAGTTCGACATACATACTCCATTTCGATTTATAACAACAATTAGAATTTCTGTTCCACAGCGAAGAAGGCCCGGTGGTTAACGGTCAGAGCATTGAGCCAGCATTTGTGAGATTTTATTTGAATCTAGGCAGCAGCTCACTATTCAACTGTGTTTACATGTTTAATTTGTTTTACACATCATTTGGTAATAATTCTAGGTCTGAGAATTAAAAATATCGATTTTACTGTCATGTGACGAACACCTCTCGAGCAGGGCACGTGGGAAAGGGTAGTGCTCCAAGAGTGGATAAGAGGTCACATATTTCAGAAGCGTTTCTATGGTAAGACCTTTCATGAGCTATTATTTAATACGAGGCAATGTCCTGCTCTTCAAGTCTTCTGAATATACATGACTTCAACTTAGGACAAAATATGAAATACTACTTGGGGGAGGGGGGTGGGGGTTTCCAAAATAGGAATTGTGTGATGTTATATGAACAATAAATTCAAAAACTAAGCTTTGGAGTAGAATACGTGGATGAGTTGAAATTAGCTTCAGTGTTTATTTTGCGAGTCAGGTGGATTACAGTCACAATGGAAATGGCCACATGTCGTAGAGAAGTAAGGCAAGTCAACAAGCCTATGGACTCGTGCTGTTTTTCTCCATGAAATACATTCACAACGGTAATCGTAAACTGGCAATAAAAGATCAGCATTTGTGGCGCTGCCAGCCCCTCATTGATCCCATTCTGTTCCCAAAATCAAAGAGTAAATGTGTCGCTTGGCTGAGACCACTACGCTGAGACCACAGAACAACCGGTCTGTGCGTCACATTGTTTCCGCAATGCAACAACGCTGCAAGGCTCTTCCACTCGGACTTCCATACTGCAAGCGGGCATAGTGAATTACTCATCTGTTAATTAATTACAATACCAATTTATCTACATTCAAATGTTCATGTAGCACTCAGCTGCATTTAAAGTGGTCATAAAACAGTTGAAGAGACCTAAGCTTTTGAAACCCTCTGGTATTAATTAAAAATACATCACGTTCATTTGTGCTGACCTCTGGTTAAAAAGTAGCTGGAGATTTCTTCCGTTACTATTTATACGAATGTTCAAAAGTTGTCCACAGGAAACCATAGCAAGACAATTCCCCCAATGTTATCTTGTGCACAGCATGCATTAAATAGGCTCTTGCACCAATTTGTATGAAGAAAACAGTGATAATCTCAACTTGACATTGACCAGTTTAAAATTAATAATTTTCAGTGTCATTCGTCACAACCAGATTTACAGTGGTGTTCTTTGCTGCAAAAAGAATAAAAACAAGTGTAGGCAATAGCAAATGGGAATATGTGGGTACATGTCCGTTTTAATATAATTTGTACTGACCATACATGTCTAGATTTGAAGCTTTCGTGACTGCAAGGATCCATACTCTTTGGTTCTGTATAGAACCAAAGAGTATTACCATACATGGTGTAGTTATTAATAAAATATCGCAGCACAGACGTGACCTTGACATTTTCTATTGCTGGCATACTTCTTTTAATGACTTTGGAGCCCTTCCACTGAATTCCAACACTCCAGCAGTACCTTTGAATTCGGTTGCACTAAACCACATAAGTGCCACGTAAAGGTCAGGTTCACTGCTTTTATATTGGCCCGACGCTGAACCCCTGTGGACGCTAAGGTCCAACAAGAGGCTTCTACCCCCGGTGATTTAACCCCCGGCTCACCTGAATAGGCATTGTTGGTGTTGAGAAAGTAGATTTCCTCTCGGCCGTCCCCATCAATGTCACAAGCGGCGACACCAATGGCGTTGCCCTGCCGATCTCGCAGGGCGTAAAACGGGGAGCTCTTGTCGTCCAGCGCCACATTCTCCAAACGCCCACTTGCGCGGTTGTACTTCAGCACCAGATTGGGCCCATTGTACCTGTGAATGAGACGGCCCTGCTCTATTACGCCTTCCAATGAACCGCCATAGTCCACAAAAACCCACATGTTTACATTAGCACTTGTTTGAAAATAGAATATCGTGCGTTTCAGATTACACAGCAATTACAGTTCATGATGCTTTAATTAGTGCTGTGGAAAGGGAAGCAAACATCACTGAAATCAACCCTAACCTCTACGTACAAGTTAAAGAGGCACCAACGCAGCACATTAATTAAGTGGCAATTTAGAGTGAGGAAATTTGTGAGATACGAATATTGTGGTAATACATTTTCACGAGAAGGTAAGATTTTCCATGTTATATTTGTTTCTGGCCAGACAGTGAGTGCAATGATTTAAATTAGGATTAAATAACGTTTTCACTTATATTTCTAGTTTTAGTTGTTACGTAATGTGTGAAAATTAACAGCACACGTGGGCTTTTGCAAAAATTACATGAACACTGCACTGTGTTACATTGAATGGTGCTCCATCGAGCCTGGCTGCACGCTTCCAGTGCTGGTGTCTGCCAAGCCACTCATCTCTCGTGATAACCTCAGTTGTAAGAGTTGCCTCGTTAGCTCTCGGGTGTCTCCACAACCTCCTTTCCCCATTTCCGCACGTCTCCGTGACTCTCCCTCTCCCTGGCTGTTAGCTCATCATATCGCCCCGAACCCTCTACTGGGTTTTCCGTTCCTTAAAATTGACCCCGCCAACCCCTCCGTCAGACCTCCTGACCCTGCTGTTGGGAATTTTGACCTCCTGCATGAGATATCTATAACTGCCATAAAGCCACACATCCCCATGGTTTGGCCTCCTGACTCCAGCATCAAGCCTCTTGACCTCGAGTTCACAGCTCTCCATCTCTCTTCCGATGTGGTCTACGCTCTTCTGCTTCACCTCGTATCCAATTAGATACTCGGAACTTGGTGTAAGCATGATAAATATTACTCTGTATTTCCCTAACACGGACAGATAAATCAGCACCCTGGCAAATGCAGGTTTTGTCGCGGATTTCACCGATGGGATGCCTTGATACACGGTAAAGTGATTCAGGGCTCTATATGACGTTAATAAATGCAATGCGGGGATATCAGGGAAAGCTATCGTCAACATAATCAGCTGCTGCGATCAATCCACTGCTGGATAATAGCCTCCTCAGTCGGTCACCATTTCTCACAGTCTTGCGATGTAACAAACCACCTAGAGCCTGCCAATTCAACATTCCCATCCACTGTAGATAACTTCCCGGGGTGCTTCACGTGTTGCATGGATTCCACCGTGTGAACGACGGAAGGGATCCACAGTGAATGGGGGGGGGGGGCAAGGTGGAGATGCCGGCGTTGTTTACGAAAGAAAAGGCAGTGTACAGCAGAGTGGGCATGGGGAAGGCAAAGGCGAGCCACTCCATGTTATTTATCACGTCGTCGGCTGTAAAGTGGAAGAAGTTCAGTGACAAATCTCTGCTTGTCTTTGTTATTCTGGGATTTGGCCAGCAAATGTTGGCAAGCAAATCCACTATGTATGAGGTTTCCACTTCAAGTGTAGGTCAAACCCTGTACATGATGCCAAATTCTAACAGCATCTTAGAAAAGAGACAGACATGTTTGATATACAAATTTCAAAAATATATATGGGTCTTATGATCTAAGTGTTAGAATGCACTGATCATTTATAAACTTACTTATTCCTCAAATGTTTAGAAGTCAGAGTGTGTGTCATCGGTTCAGTTGAAATTGAATTCAATCGTATTTTTACAAGAAAAAATCTGAGCAGATAATCAGGATGACTGAGCACGGGGCAGAATGTGACCCAATCAACATCAAATCACATCTTGATTGGATCTTTTTTTACCACGCGGATCGTGCGGAATCTCTCGGGGCTGCATTGGTCATGTTTCTATTCACAAATCAATTCCTTGTGTTTTACCATGTCGGGCATGTACAATCTTTAGTGGCTGTAGGGGTCACGATTTGATTAATGAATTTATTTAGTCGTTTTTTACCATTACAGTGCATTTTAACCTTTGGTGGCAGCAGTGTTTCAATGCAGCACATAGTATAAAAGGCAATGAACCCTTGTACAGTCTCAACAAACTGTTGAAGTACAGTTACCGAGCACCTATGAAGGCCCGCATGGCACACAAGGGTGTGGGTGACCAGCACCACGCTTGGCCGCTTGTCTCCCGAGTAGCGATGTTTACACATTGCACCAGGTCTTCATTTGAGGATGAAGTCGACCTAGGGAAGGCCCAGGACTGCTTCAGATAATTGTCACTGGTGTTGGCCGTAAGCTGGAATTGAATTTAGATCGGTGGCTTTGTAGTGCAGCATGCTAACTGCTACACTACCACGCCCACAGCACGTACTAGATGTATACACACACCGAAGAAAAGCGAGTCTCAAACGCAGGATATTATTCATGCGCCATGATAAGAATTCAGTTTAAGAACTGTTACAGCCCGAGTATATGCACTAGAAGCTAGGGATGTCCGCGATAGTCCATCTTATAGACACTTAAATGCTGCTGCATGGCATCAGCCCAGAAAGTGTATAGGTTGACAGATTATGTATTGAGAATAGAACTATGTTTATGTATTTATTCCTGTAAACATAAGCTTGTAGTACTTGAAGAACATTACAATTATCTGTTGATATCTGCCTTACAGTGCTATTACATGGGAAGTGCCATGACCGAATGGGAGCTTGTTGCAGAGGTTCAGTTAGGTTAACAAATGCACAGTGGCACCAACAGATGTGGAATATTCCTGGCTTGATCACATCATGGGAGGACAGAAATATATAAACAGTGGGGAAGTCTCTCGCAGTTTTTTTTGGTGTGGAAGGGACTCGAATAACAATCATGTGACAATGAAAATAAAATTTTGACTGAAGGTAATGTGGCGAGACAAGCGAATGAAAGGGTGATATTTTGGAATTTATAAAATGTGAACGTGGAGCAAAAGTTTAGAGTGGAGATTAAGAGAAGAGCGGCGGAGAACTCCATCAGTGAGGCAGGATGCTGCAGCACGCTGGTGCGACTGACACGGGCGATAACTCGCACGCCGAACCCAATTGGTGAAAGGGCAAAAGGATCAATGGGTGGCAGAGGCAATGACGGAGAAGACAAAAGAGCAAAGAAATCGTAAGGGTGTAAACACTAAAGGTGGACAAATGGACAGAAAGTTGAAGTGCAGATAATTTTTGGTGCATGTCTCTTTCCTCCCACTTCCTATGTATGTTGAACTTCTTTCCTACCGTACGTAACCAACCATGCCATTCGGAGGTGTGGTTTCTAGATTTGAAGCTTTCTTTGGGTCTATTCGGTAAAGTCACGTAGGTAAAAAATAAAACAGCAAAAAATCACGACGTTTCGGCCACAACACAAGCGGCCTTCATCAGGTGAAGGGACCAGATTGTGACTGAAGGTAATGAGGGCCGCTTGTGTTGTGGCCGAAACGTCGTGATTTTTGTTGTTTTATTTTTTACCTACGTGACTTTACCGAATAGAACCAAAGAGTATGAGGTGTGGTTTATTTGGTCTAACCTCGGCGGTGCGCCACAGATTGATTACAGGATCTGCGATACGGTGGCTAATTCAACGCAGACCTATTGGCTTTCTGCGCTCCATACATGGGTAGAAATAATGAATTAAAGGCTTTCGTCAATCTGCTGCAGGATGACTGCCTCAACACCTTTCAATCACGTGGGCTGTTTTAACGGAGGCCCAGGATTGGTTTAGCTAACATTCGCCAATGACGGTAAGCCATAGCTAAAAATCAAACGTGTCACCAGGTTCTGTACAGCAGTGTGCTAACCACTGCTCCCCCTCCCCCAGTGTGTATATACTGTAATGTAATTAAAATTAACTGTAAAGTTATTAAGTCGCATAACCTTAATATATTTTTTTTGTTTTAAAATCATTCAATATACAAAAGCAGATTGAGTAACTGATATCAAAAACATGTCATTAAGTTCTCAAGTTACAAATTATAGCAAGAGTACTACATTTTAATTGGCATTTTAGGCTTGCTTGCTTTGCAGGATTAAAATTTCACTGATCAAGTGTGACTGACACATTTGGCGCTCTTAGTGAATTGTGGCAGAAAGCAACATACAGATTTTATTCTTAAGCAATATATCTTGTATGAATAGATGACCAGTAGCTAGGCCCATAACCGAAATCACGCCATTTTCTTCACATGGCTGGCACATTGATTATTTTGTAATTTATTGCAACAATCTATATTGACTGTTTTCTTGATTAACAAATTAATCATGTAAATGTATTTTTTTTCTGTGAGGCAGAAATTACTTTCCGTCACATCTACCGGGAGTGCTTCTGCTGACGCAAGTCAACGCCCGAAAACCCTGCGCAATTCTGCTTGACCCAATATTCTGCCCACGCTTTGCTCGATACCATTTTTGCATAAACGACATGCACAAGCAAGTCTGTAGAATTGTATTTTAGCCACCCTAAGCCAGATAATTTCAAAAAATTTGCTTACAGCTGTATTTTTAAAAAGCTGTTATGCAATTGCTTAACAATGTACTATTAGGGTGTCTCAATGAGAGTTTACATAATTCTGTACTCTTAAGTTAGTGCAACTTGAGTATACTGTACACGGTGTAGTCACTGCAGTGGATGGGATGTAACATAATCTATGTGCAATGGGCTCTTTCCTCCCTAGATTTTTTCCACGAGATGGCAGATGTATTACATGATTAAAGATCGCAGCACAGAGGTGGCTGGGTGGCTCAGAGGTAGTAATGATGGCAGAGCCAGCACCTGAGATCTTGGGTTGAAAGCCGGGCAGCCACTGGTAATGAAAATAGGTTTTCAATTGTCCCTCAGTCCCAATCCTATAAAAACAATGTTTTACTCAATGTTGGTATATTTTAGCTCAGAGAATGAAAATATTATTTGAATGTCATGCGATATAAGAATGTGTGGGAAAGTGCACCTTCCATTGAGTAAAGATAAACATTTCACTTTAATATT